ATAAACATCATCCTCATTCCCAAGGAAGTTCAAGTCTAACTACAGAGAAAAATTGTTTATAATTTTGTAAAGTAAATGCAGACATCAGTTATTTCATTAAACAAACATTTATTAAACATCTGTTACATGTCGAGTTTGTCCTAGGATTTGGGAATGCAAATATGAACAGACACAATGGTTGCCAAAGAGAAAGTTTCATAGTGAGGAAAAGAAATCAGTGACACCATACTACAGTAGTATTCAATATGATAACTGATGTGATGAGTTATGAAGGCAGTACAATATGACAGAAAAACTACTTGAGATCTTGCTTGGTAACAATGTACCTTTGTGTAATTGATCATTCTCAAGGAGCTTTTACAAGTTACTTCATTTTATTCCAACAACAAGCCTGGAAGGTTAAGCAAGCCAGTCACCACCAGCCACTAGGTAAGGAAACAAAGCAAAGCTACAGCTTGCTCAGGGAGACATTAAGTATAATAACAGTAGAGCTGGGACAAGAAACTCCACCTCTTGCCTCCATGTGCATTGCTGCTTCCTTTTGTCTTGACTCCATACCTTACCATATGACCTTGAACAAGTCACTTGGCATTTCTTTATCATAGTTTGCTCACCTGTAAAAGAGGGAGAATATCTGCAGTGCCTATCTAAAGTGACTTGGGAGAAGGATCAAATAAAGCAACATAAATCAATACACTTTGAGACATACAAATGGAAGGTATACATTATAAGACATGCCTGTTTCTCTTGGGGGAAAAAAGGATACAGAGTGCTAAAACACTGAGCAGATAAATGAACTGTGCTGGATTTTAAGGCACATAGGTGCACTCAAGTTTATCCATATAACTTTACGACTACTAAAGGCAAAAGGACCACAGTTCATACATCTGTTGTAGTCCCACTGACCTCAAAAGGCAAACATCAATCAAGTTGGCAAAAAAGGAATGTATTTACCTGTGTAACCAGATACTAACCATTAGGAATCCTATCAAACACCTGAATTATGGGAAAGATAGGATATGCCAGCACCTTTCCCCAAAGGCAGAAACTGATGGTTTTTGCTAATCTACGCAAAGAAAATTTGAATATCCTGCCTGCCCCCCATGAGCACCACCATAGTTCTCATCTTCTATGCCTCAGAACTGCTCTGTCCAATACAGTAGCCACATGTAACTATTATCACTTGAAGTTTTTAATTTTAATAGTTTTAATTTAAATTGTTTTAAGCCAGGCATAGTGGCATGTGCCTGTATTCCCAGTTATTTGGGAGGCTGAGGTGGGAGAATCACTTGAGTCCAGGAGTTTGAGGCTGCAGTGAGCTATGATCACACCACTGTAGGTGGTGATAGAGTAAGACTGGGTGATAGAGTAAGACCTTGTCTCCAAAGAAAAAAAAGAAAAGAAAAAAATGTTTTAATTTTTTTAAAATTTAAGCTATTTAAATAAAAAATCCACTTCCTTAGTTACATTAGTCACATTTTAAATGCTTAAGAGTCACATATGGCTAGTGGCTACCACATTGGACAAAGCAGGCATAGATATAGTTCCATGATTGCAGAAAATTCTAATTGACAGAGCTGCTTTAAATACTACACCATTATTTTTGTTACTACTTTGATTAGACTATAGACTCCTTGAGGACAGGGGTTGTGTCTTATTTATCTTCATATCTTCAGTTTATATAGCAAAGTGCATGTCACACATAAAGCACTCACTATACCGATGGTCCCTGACTTACAATTTTCAACTTTACCTTGGTGTGAAAGTAACAAGCATTCTATAGAAACCATACTTCGAGTACCCATATGACCATTCTTTTTTTACTTTTAGTACAATATTTTGTATTGAATATACATGAGATATTCAACACTTTATTATAAAATAGGCTTTGTGTTAGATGATTTCGCCCAACTGTAGGGTAATGTAAGTGTTCTGAGCACGTTTAAGGTAGTCTAGGCTAAGCCATTATGTTTAGTAGGATTGGGTGTATTAAATGCATTTTCAACTTATACTCTTTTCAATTTACGATGGGTTTATCAGTATGTAATCCTATCATTAAGTCGAGGAGCACCTGCACATCTAATTGAATATCTCAAACATAGTAGACCACTCTGTTCACTTCCCCCATCCCATACACACACACACACACAGACACTGACACACACACACAAAACAATAATAAACAAGACATCCTCTCACATGCAGGGGACTGGTGTGAAAGGGGACACTGTGTCCAGAGGAAGGAGGCCTGGAGGTGCTAGAAGCTAACTATATAGGCTTGGGCAAGTTACGTACTTTCTTCACCTACAAAAAGTTAGACTAAAACTCCATGTACCTTACTTCTAAAACTTTAATCATCTTGCACCAAAGAAAATCATGTATTCTGTCCAAAAAACCTTTGCACATGTCAGGAAACATACCTGTTAACACTGATGGGTACCTCATACTAAATGGAATCCATTTCTAGGTCTCAGGCTGTCATGACTGTAGTCATTTTTGGTCATTAAGCATGTGGAATTTTCACCTTTACCTTGAAGGTCAACTAGAGACTTAAACCTCAGGCTTAAAGAGTGAGTTTCTTCCATGTGCTGAGGCCAGAACTGGATACTCTGTCCATATCTGATCAGAGAAACAAGGGCAAGTTTCTTGAGTATCTGAATTTAATATAAATTGTCCCATCAGTTTCTATATCAGTGGTAGCCTAAAAATTGAGCAAACGGTACGAAACTGAACCAAGGAAATATTTCTATAACAATCCTTACAGTGCAAAGTATATCATTATATGAAATGTAAATTTTTTCAATCTGCATACTTTGCCAAATTTAACTACTATAAAAAAACCTTTATTGTCCAAAACCTCTTCATAATGACCTTCACACACATATTCACTTTTATAAACCTTACATTGTTTTAAGACCAGCCAAGAACAAATACAATAGGAATTATTGGGCTATCTTCCTTTAAAACTTATAAATACGTGGGGCAATGGCAGTTCAGGCATTCTGCAATAAATACACATGCTAAGTTTGTCAATTTCTCTGACATCATGATTTTACTCTTCATTAAGTACTTATGTCACTTCTCCTGGTGAACAGGATAAACTATTACCAACAGCAATTCCATCTACTTGTATTTACTAAGTACCAACAAGGCAAAAACATTTAGTGGATGACAACTATACATTTTTTCAGACAATGATGTGGGGAACACATGCAGACGTCTAAAGGTAATAAAAGGGCTTTTGCTACAAAATTGATTGTTAAAATCAGGCATTAAAAATTAACCAACATTGATCGCACATGATTAGACCTATATAACACCTTACCATTAATAAGAACTCAATGTGTCTGTTCAACTGCTGGATGGATAAATTAATGAACCTAACTAGAATATTCCCAAGCAAAAGAAGAACAAAATTCTATAAGCTAAGAACTATCAAATATCTTTTACGAAAATGGAAATAGAGAAGTATCTGTTTGCAGCATGGTCTATCTTTATCATAAAAGGGACTCAAACATTCCACTCAGTAAAAACTTTGTGAGTCCTTATGTCAAAGCACTGGAAGGAATACAGAGATGAAGAAAACACAGTCTCTGCCCTCAAGTTGCTCATAATCTAGTAGAAGGGATAGAATTACAACACAGAATAATAATAATATGGTAAGTTCCATTACAATGGTACCAAAGAGTAGACAGAAAAACCCAAAGTGGGTGGAGGTCAGGAACAGAAGCATCTTCAAGGGAATGTTTGGAATTGGCAGTGAAAGACATGAAGAAAAAGATACGCATATGTGTATGAGAGAGAGCAGAAGTGTGTGTGTGTTTGGGTACAGTGGCCAGAAAGCGTGGATGGAGGATGGCCTGGACAGAGGAACAGCATATGCAAAGAAGACCCCAGGTTAGACACACTACACCCATGAGTACTGTATATTTAGGAAAATTGCAAACCAATAGTTTTGCATGAGATGTACACATTTTAAAAGGCCCAGCTCACGCAGAATTCCTGCACAGAAAGTTACTTCCCACCCCCACGAGACTTTCACAAGGTGCAGTCAGTGGGCCTAATGGAAAGATCTGTGCCAGTGGAATCTGCATTTTTAACAAGCTCCTAAACAATTCTCCTGCACACTTAAGCTGGACAAACACTGAGACGCCTTTTGAGATGCAGAATTATCGCATTACATGCGGTTCCCAAACTTTGCTGCACACTGGAATCACTTGGGCATTTAAACAAAAAATGATGTCTGGCTTTCACCCACCCAACATTCTGATTTAATTAGCCTGGGGTGCTACACGGACTTTGGAAATCGTTGAAAGCTCCCCAGGTGATTCCACCGGCCAGCAAAGTTGGACAGCCGTTGACCTAATTGTTAAGAACTTAGACTGTGGAGTCAGACTGTTCGGGTTTAAATAACCAGCTATGTGACCTTGGGCCAGTAAGTCACTCAGGGCCTCAATCGCCTCATCAGTAAAATGGGGATAATAACCCAACCTCACGGAGTTGTTGTTAAGTTAGACGTGATGAACGTAATGGCCTGGCACAATGCCTTGCGAATAAGCGCTTAATGGGGGTTAGCTGTTTACGCTCATCATTAACTCTTCCTCATCTGAGTGTCACTGTGCAATCGGCAGCATTATCCCCACTGGGCGGCAGCAACTCGCCCAACCTTCCCGCTGGACCAAATTCTTTGCCGGAGTTGTCTCGCTCTGCTCCAGACCCGCCCCCTCCCCCAGGTTGCCAGGAAAGAGCTTCGCCCAGCCGGGCAGCTCCCAAGGATTAGACCGGGTTTGCAGAGACTCGACAGAAGCCGCCGACTCCAGGGCCAAGCTCGCCCCGCCCCCGTGGGTTCCCGCAAAATTCGAGGATGCGCTTCCAAAGGCCTGGCCCCTGGAACACCCAGAGCCGAGAAACAAGCCTCAGCCGTCCCGGAACCGCCCGAAGGGGAGGAGAGAGAAGGAGAGGGGAGGGTCCGGCCGCGACGGGGCCGGACGCCCGGTTACCTGAGGCGACGGGCGGGGCCCGCATCGCTGGGGCGGGCGCCACCGCCGCCGCCGCCGGCCGCTCTCGGCCTTCGGCCTCACGCGACCCGCACCATAGGGCCAGCGCTTTCACCGTCCGGGCCGGCCGTCCTCAGGCGGTCGGTCTGTCCACCCGTCAGCGAGTCTCCCAGGGCGCCGGGGGATGACGAAGGCCAGTCGGGCCGGCCGGCTGGGCTCTGCTCAAGCAACTTCCGACTGCCAGGGGCGGCGGCGTCAAATAACTCCCCAGCCAAGTGGGCCACTGCGCGTGCGCGATGCTGCTGATCAGAGACTTCCCGGAGCCGAACTGGTGGCGTCAAATAATTCCCGAGACACAGAGTCGGAAGCTGCGCGTGCGCAGCTATCCCAGCTCGCCGCGCGGGGCGCATTCCGTCTTTCCTTTCCGGACCAAGTGGATAGGGAGGAGTGAAGTGACGGAGGCACCTACCTCATCGCAGTACGGGGGTGGCACTCCACCTGCGTTCCTATGAATCTTACGACAAGCCAGACTCTACCTGTTTTCAGTGCGGACGTAGTGAGGGACTGCTCTGCAAGACTCTGGCTACCACCCAGGTTCTAGGAATTTTTCACATTCCACCATTACAGCACCCTTACTTTGAAATGATGCCCTCTATCCTTATTACATGCGCACAGCATTAATTATGAGCAATGCTCTATGCCAGGCCTGGTGTGGATTACAAAGATGAATCAGACATCAGATTCAGTGCCTCTCATTAAAAGCTGAGTCTGATAGAGAAGATAAGACATTAATAGCAATAATAATAGCAAGAGTTACTGGTTTGAGCACCTGCAGTGCACCAGACAGACATTTTGTAAACAGTACCACTTTCAATAATTTGGTTTCTACTTCAATGAAGAGAAGAATACCACTGGAGAGGTACAACTCACGTGCCTTGGGAGTGTAAAGGAGGAAACTTGGACTGAGAGAGAAGAGGAGGGAGATACGGTGGAATTCTTCACGGAGGACCTGGCCTTGAGATTGACCTTGGATATTCAGAGAGGGAGGGATCAGGATGTTGAGTAGTACTAAAGGCAGGCTGTCTGAAAAGAGCAGAGAAGATGCTGACTCCTCCTCTCCCTCAATTAGAAGAGACCATGGAGGAAGGAGTGACGAGAGAACTGATGTCCTCATAGAAAGGATAAAACAGAAGAGTGTTTCCTTAAGACCATAAGACCATACCTCACCTTCCAGGAAAGTAGCTACGGGAAGGCGGAGGAAAAAAAATGGGTGAGAATGCCAGGACAAGAACTAGACTATGTCCAGGACACTATGCGGATCAAAGCAATACATTTCAATTAAACACAGTGTGACAAATACCGTAGGAGGCTCACTCAGTATCTATTTCAGCCACCTCTCCCTTGCCTTTCTATACTACAGAGGCTGAAAAGCAAAGTATGCAATTCCCAAATTCCCTTGCAGCTAAGGGTAGCATTGAGACAAAATGCTGGCCAACAAGATGTGGGCAGAAGTCCCAAGGGACACTTTCCCTGCCAGTGTGAAAAGGAAGTCCTTCACTTTTCCCCTGCTTCATGCTTGGAACTGAGATGTAACACCTGGAGGGGCAGCAGCCATCTTGAGGACATCCGTGAGGAGGGACATTCTAAGAAAAGTGGAGTAGAAAAACAATAGGAGCCTGCTTCTTTAGGATATACGCAAGCAGCTACACAAACCCTGCACTCCCTTCCTGTTTTATGGGGCCTATGGAGAATCTTACTTACACAATAGTTTGTTGAGTTTTCTGTTACTTGCAACCAGATATATTCCTAACACACTAAATACTGAATGCCTGTAATACATCAGACAGGTAAGGGTGACAAATTGGAAGAACAATAGGTGATGGGAATTGGAAAAATATTTAATAACAGACACAGAGGACTGGGAAGCTGTCTAAAAGCCCTTGAGGAGATGATGAAAATACATCTATCCTCCACCTGGTGGCTTTAATTTATTCTTAAAATTCTGCCTCTAAGTGAAAAGCTGTTAAATGAAAAAATGCATATTTCCATTAATTTAAATGG